GCAGTATTCGATTAGCATAATACGACACAATTCGCAGAAATCGATTATCTGCTACGGTTTAGAAGTTACATAAATCTGAAAATCGTAACTCCTAAATTTCCGGTTCTAGAAAACTGTACTGCAAAAACGAGTCATCTGAAGCCATTTTGCCATTAGGAAAAGTTGTTGTGCTCGTCTGGCACAATGCAGTACAACTTTTAAAAATTCGAAAATGCAAAATTTGTTTTATTGAATATTTTGCAAGCTATGCAGTTCTCGTTATTGTTGTGAGTGGTTTCTTATTGTATTCGATTAGCACAATATAGCACAACTCGCAGAAATCAATTATCTGCTATGGTTCAGAAGTTATTAGGTATTTTATATTTTAAGTTCAATATTTTTTTTCTACTAAACCATAGCAGATATCGACTTTCTACGAACGGCACAACGCGGCACAAATTAGAGCCAATCTACAAAAAAAAAATGGGTTCATTTCGACAAAAGTGCGGGGCTGGAAAATTTTGGTTTTTATTTTATTTCTCGGATAATATTGAAGTTATCGATTTCCCGTTTGCGGCACAATTTAGCACAAACATAGCACAATACAGCGCAATAAAGAAAACGTCAGAAATCGAAAAGTGTGGGGCTATTAGATTTTTCGTTTTTTTTTCTCGAAAACGGTTTGAGATTTTTTTATGCGGTTTGCGGCACAAGACGGCACAAACGCAGCACAATCCAGCACAATCGACGAAAATATAACTTTCGCAAAGTTCGGGGCTAACTTCATACACATGTTTCATGTAGATTACATATATCCCATATTTAACTTCTAAGTTATAGTCCTGTGTGTATGTGTATAAAATATATAAAAGTATGTTAAATTATTAGCGTGTACTAGTTTTTTGTTTTTGCTAAACGCAGCCAATGTTTCATTTAATAGTAAAATTTATTGAAATATGATATTTAATTTTCTGAGAATACAGCTAGCAGTATATATTATGTGGATCATGTGTGCCTTACGTTGTCAGAAGTACACAATATATTTAATGTTTAAATATCATTTTATATTACGCAAAATGTTAGATATCGACTAGTGCAGGAGTCTTCACTGAATGATTATTTCCTATTATTATACATATTCTTTCTATAGATAGATGAAGACATGAAAAAAGAGAACGATATATATCCATTTTTATCTATTCATCTATTTATCTGCAAAACAAATATGTCAAAAAAATAATCATTTAGCACAGATTTTTGTACAACATAGTTGATACAATATTTTGATTCATATAAAATGATGTTCGTAGTTCTGATGATATAAGATGACACATATGATACAGATAATATGTATAAAGTCATAAAAAATTGAACTGGAATGAAACGTGTTAAAGCATTTAACAATTGTAGTATGTCAATGGAATAACTCTTTCCATTATTTAACTTAAGTTTAACTGTAAGTTTAACTTTATATTTTATGTTAATTTACTTTCGTCTTATTAACTTTTCTTTAATAACAATTTATGCTTCAATTTTCCTATCGTGCATGCTATATTTTTGCAGGCTGGACACGTCTTAGGTCTTAGTCTGTTACTTTTGAGGTCACAATCATAATATTATTAAAATGTCTTATTTTATTGAAGAAACTTTAACGAAGTGGGATCTTTCTCAATATATCGAAAAATTTAAAGGTTATTATTACATTTTTATAAGATTAATGTAGAACGAAAGTGTGTAATTGTATTTTATCCTTATTTATTTAGAGGAGCAAGTTGATGAACAAGCATTTCTGTTTATGCCTGACTCTATGGTTAAAGAATTGATATCTTCAATTGGACAACGGTTCACTTTTCTTACAAATCGGAAAGTATTGCTTGAAAATCAGCTATTGGTTTGTAACTATTCAATATTAGTAAAATAACATGATTTATAATTTTAATGACTGTTTTATATGCAATCAAAATTAAGAAATTATATATATAATTGTAACGGGACACCCTGTCCCGCTACGTTTTGTTGCTATTTATGCTACTTCATGCTTCGTTCCGTTTTTCTTCCTTCTATTCTATTATGTATATAATCATCTCGTGTATATAGTTGGTCTTTTTTTTAGTTATGATGTTACTTACTTAGAAGCTAGTCTTGTTTCCATCATGTTAAATATATCGTTAGACACCGAAGATCCGCGCCTAATATCTCCCCACCCAACCCGCCTACGCGAGTCACGAGGCGCCTCGGCGCGCGTTAACTCGGCGCGGCGCCGCTACGTGGCGCCGGCCGGACACCGCGGCCGCTTCTCGCGGTTAAATATCGCTAGCCGCGCCGATATAACGGGGCCGCTCGGGCGCCAGGAGAGAGGTCGTCAACCGGTCTCTTACCCGAGACCGGTCATCCAGGACGACACCATCCTGGTGATACACTGTTAACACAGCCGCCACCGCTCCTCTCCTGTTAGGACCACACGCGTTGTTTGATTCAACCGTCGTCCTTATTTTAGTTTTTCCTCTTTCCTGCAACCCGCGACGACCGAGTTGCCCGATTCAACCGATCGCCGTTCCTAACTCCTGGAGACGCACGCGTTGCCCGATTCAACCGGCGTCCCCGCTTTCCTGCAAAACACGCGACGACCGAGTTGCCCGATTCAACCGATCGCCGTTCCTAACTCCTAGAGACGCACGCGTTGCCCGATCCAACCGGCGTCTTCGCTTCCTGCGACCGCGCCCCGCGGGCCCCCCAGTCGTGCCAGCTGCCCCAATAGGTGCCACGGCTACCATCCGCCCCCTGCTCATATCAACTGTAAATATTTCGGTGTAAATAGTACTTTGTTGTTGGTGTCTCCAATAAATCTAAGTTGTAAATAGCGCATTCACTCTCGCACACTCTCTCATCTCCTCTCACACGGATCCGGACTCCGGCGAGCGAAATCCGGCACGCAGAAAAACGAAACGTTACAACATAATAAACATTTAAAACATACAAGAGTATTTTAAATGTTTACAATAAAAGTACAGGTACAATATTTAATAACAATACAAACATTAATACTATATTTAATAAATTTAAATAAAGTTTATATTTATAAATAAAATATAATTCTCATTCAATAACATCTTTTTTCCAATTAAAATAGGTTATTTAAATATCTTCATTATTTATTTTTTTTCTATTCAAGTTATTATGAAGTTTATTTTATGTAAATATTATTGCTTTAGGATATTACGAATGTAAGTGAATCAAACACTAACCTTAGCGTAGCATCACCATTTCAAAGTGTATCTAAGGATAATATTCACGTATTACCATCTACAAGTGACCTTGATACTACTAGTATAGGTAATAGTACGTCGACAGACACATGTCTTTCTTGTGGGAAGGTATACATTATTTATATTAATTTTGTAATGCCTCTCATATTTATTTTCTTCATCTAATTTATATCTATCTTAAAACAACTTTCTTTCGTAGTCTTAATTTCATTTCTGTAGTGATGACTATCTTGTAGAAAATATATCAAAGAAATCGATTTATTTATATTTGTTGAAATTTTAATTGTATAATTACATAATACAAACCTATATCATTAAATATAATACTAAGCAATTAGTGTTTTGTTTTATTTAATATTTTTTAATCTTAATTTTAAGAATCTAAGACAATTACTCACAGAATCCGGTACTGGACAAAAATTATTAACACAGACACGATTAAGTCCATCAGATCGCAATAAATTATGTCAGATAATTATTGAAAAACTTCTTAGCAAATGTATGAAGTATGTATAAATATATATTATAGCTTCAAAATTTACAATGCCTATTTTTATATTTATTTCTTTCATTCTACTTTTTATTGTAGAATAAAGTCTGAAGATTTTCAAGAATGGGCTGCACAGATTGTTAGTCTTGTTAAGTATGAAAAAACATCTATATACTACGTTCCAAGTAACACTAAATTCAAACGTTTTGCTAATGGAAAACTTTGGGGCAAGTATAATAATGTTAAGAAATTTATGAAGAAACACACAAATGAGTGTAAAAAAGAGAACATTGAAACAACTTCTCTTTCTGAAGAGGCATTGATTACATTACGTGTTATTTAACCGGAAGACGAAAATCTTGAAAACTTGTGGAAAGAAACATTTGCAGAAAGAAATAGAAAAACTGTAATTAAAGATTATTATGATGAATATCCTATTCTAAAAACTGCGATTGGTGCTAAACTTGTAAGAATATATGACATTTTAATGTTCTATAACTCAACTTAAAAATATAATGTTACTCAATGTCAAAGGTTACAGTTACATTGATTTTCAAATAGCAACAGAAAGAGATACGTTAATATTCCATAAAAAGTGGCCTGAAATAGCTCCGTATATACTACTTCTTGCTGAGAAAACAGAAACATGTCCCTCATTGTGCGAAGTAAAAAATGGTATATATAAATAATTTTTTGAATACCATAAATAAATCTTTTTTGTACAAAACATCCTATTATATTTTCAAAATTGTGTACAAATATGAGGTATGTAAAAATAGAAGAAATTTAGGGGTGTATATCAGTTGGACACGGGGCAATTGGACACAGTCCAATCACAAGTCGCTGTTCCAAGGGACCCTACAAATGTCTCTAATCATACGGTGCTGTGATTGGCTGTGTCCAAATGCACCGTGTCCAAGTGCACCGTTCCCGAAATTTAGCATAATTTATATATTATTTGCAGATATACCAATTGAAACATTGAGTCTTCTTATATTACCTTATTTATTTAAATCTAATAACATAAAAACAAGCAATAAGAAAAGATGGAAACCATCCAAAATAGAAGTTGCTGAAAGTTTTATTTTTCGAGTTCCTGTAAGCTGATATTTTTATATATATCTGTTAAGATTCATGTTCTAAAGTTTTGATATTTTTATATTAGTATAATCGCGCGCACAATGAGTTGCGTTTGTGACGGCGCTAGCGAGAGCTCTCATGTTTTGTTCGGTCGCAGCTGCGCATGCGTGTCGCTATCTCTTTTTGCTTTCCACTTCTTCACTCTCTTGTGTCGTGTATAGACTCGCTACTGCATCGCTCATGTATAAATTTTTCTTTTGTTGTATAGTCGATCAAGACGGTATAAACTAACCATTGTTCAGTTTAATCTGTGTACCCTCTCAATAACTATTGCAAGAAACCTTTTGACGACTCACCCAATAGGTTATGGGCCCAGAAGAATACGTACATTGAGAGGTTATGTAATTTTTTCTCAATATCTTTGGACAAGGTAACAAAGAGAAATTTTTTCTTTCTTGTTCGTTGTGGTGTAAAACGGAGATAAACATTCTCGACCATGGCCGAATCGATCGACCTGAAAAACATTACAAAATTCAACGGAACAAATTTTCAGCTCTGGAAATTTCAGATGCTAGCAGTTTTTGAAACCAGTGGTTTCAAGGAAATTGTTGAAGGGGCTTCAGCGAGATCCACAGAAGCGGGTACATCATATGCAGCATGGGTGTCCAAAAATGCAAAAGCTAAATGCATCCTGGCTTCGTCGATGGAGTACTCACAATTGGAATATCTGATAACCTGCCAAACAGCAAACAAAATGTGGTGAAAATTGAGTAATATCTACGAGCAACGTAGCGCTACAAACAAATCTATATTCTTGTCACGATTTTACGAGTATAGAATGGGTACCAACGACACAGTAATGCAACATGTCTCTAAAATCGAGAACCTCGCGAGACAGCTGAACGATGTAGGAGAAGTCCTATCCGATGTAGCCATCAACACGAAAATCCTGATGACGCTTCCTGAGAAGTTCAACCCACTGATTACTGCATGGGACAGCGTAGCTACGGAAAACCAGACTCGTGCCAACCTAATCGAGCGACTCATAAAAGAAGAACATCGTTTAACAACGATGGATACAATGACAGGCGTTTGCAACAACGAGCATCAGAAAGAAAAACGACAAGTCGAGTAATAATTATAAGAAACACGAGTTCGTATAAGTTTAAAAATAAGAAATCTACAAAATGTTATTTTTGTCATAGATTAAGTCATTTTGCAAAAGACTGTCGTAAAAGAAAAGATTTAAATAAGGATAAATGCGATAATAACTGTCCAACAAATCAATTCTCAAGCGAACAGAAAAATAGTCCAAACGAACATAGTGCATTTGTTGTTAAACGTAGAGAAACGAAAACGTAGAGAATAGTATTTTAAACGCAGATATACGAAATATATGGTTGCTTGATAGTGGAGCCAGTAGGCATATGTCTTTCCAAAAAAGTTGGTTCGATGATTTTGTCGAAGTGAATGAATCGGTTTGTTTAGGCGATAACTCAATGTGCGAAGTAAAGGGATGAGGTACCATATACATTCGGAAGTTGGATCAACGGTCGCATCAACGATGTCCTTTATATACCTAGTTTAAGAAAAAACTTATTCTCGACCGGTGTAATTACACAAAAAGGTTTTAATTTGCATCTAAATTCAAACAATGCTTTTATTTACTCAAGAAATGATTTAGTAGCTTACGGAAAACGTGAAAAAAATAACTTGTATAGAATGATATTCGAAGTTGTTACGGAACATGAAGCAAATCTCGTAACAAAGAATGATCTGAATTTGTGGCATCAGCGTCTTGCACATATCAACTGTAAATCGTTACGAAAAATGATTGACAATAACTTAGGAACTGGGATAAAAGCGAATACACCAATGACACAATTCTTTTGCGAAAATTGCGTACAGGGAAAGCAACATAAACTAACGTTTAATAAAAATCCTCGAATAAAAAAGAAAAAGGTAGGCGAATTAATCCATGCGGACCTATGCGGACCAATGCCTACAGATTCGGTGGGAGGTTCAAAGTATTTTCTGCTTTTTAAAGACGAATTTTCATGTTTTCGCACGGTATATTTCCTAAAGTATAAAAGCAATACGTTCAAATTTTTCAGGAAATTTGAGGCCTCATTCCACAACAAATTCGGATATCGCATAAAAGCCCTAAGATGTGATAATGGTACTGAGTTTTGTAATAGAAATTTGAGAGAATATTTATCGTTACACGGTATAAAACTAGAAACATCGGCACCATATGTGCATCAACAAAACGGTCAAGCAGAACGCGAAATGCGTACAATATGAATAGTCGAATGCGTTCCGACCATGATACTCCCGAAAAATTTATTCCAGCGACTATGGGCAGAGGCCGTACATACAACAGTATATATCCTAAATAGATGTGTTTCATCAATGTCACACGAAAAAACTCCACTTGAGTTATGGACACAACAAAAACCAGACTTAGCGCATGTCAGAATTTTTGGAAGAATAGCGTATACGCATATTACAAAAGAATTTCGTAAGAAATTTGATGCGAAATCGAAGAAATGTATCCTCGTAGGCTACCATGGTGACTCAAAAAATTAGATTGTATGATCCAAACACTGATAAAATTATAGTTTCGCGCGACGTAATCTTTAATGAGGATATCGATAGCATGAACTCAAAAAAGGACAGCGGTCCTGTTATTACTATTAAAAACAAAATTGTCGAGAATAACGAAAATGTAATAAATAAGGGAACGGTAGATGAAGATAGTTTTCTAGACTACGAAGATGCAAATGATAAAATAGAAACTCCATGTTTCACAGAAACACCTAAAAAGTATAAATTAAGAGATCGCAGATCTATTAAAGCAAGATCGTTACTCTGCATGTCTTGCATCTTACGACGAGCCAAAAACATATTTAGAAGCGATACAAAGTAAAGATTCACATAAATGGAAAAACGCAATTGACGAAGAGCTTAAAGCTCACAAAAAGAATAAAACTTGGGAACTATCCACTTTACACACAAATAAAAGGACTATTGGATGTAAATGGGTATTTAAAATTAAAGAAAACCCAGGTATCAACGAAGTAAGACATAAGGTACGTCTTTGCGCTAAAGGTTATTCTTAAAAGGAAGGTCTCGATTATAACGAGATCTTTTCACCCGTAGTTCGTTATGATTCTGTACGAATTCTCTTAGCGATAGCCGCACAAGAAAATTTAGAAATTGGTCAATTTGATGTAAAAACAGCTTTCGAAACTCCAAGAAGAAATATACATGCAAATACCAGAAGATCTTAAGACACAAAACGAAGATATAGTCTGCAAGCTGCATAAATCGTTATACGGGCTCAAACAATCAGCAAGATGCTGGAATGAGCGATTTGATACTTTTTTAAAACAAATTGACTTTAAGCAATCAAATGCAGATCCATGTTTTCTTTCGCAATAACGAGCAAGGTAAAGTCATGATTGCACTTTATATAGACGATGGACTTATTTTAGCCACAGATAAGAATTTGATAAACGACACCTTGAAGGAAATACAAAATGTATTTGAAATTACAATCGAAAATTCAGAATATTTCTTAGGGATACAAATAAAGCGCAATCGCAAAGAAAATTCAATATTTATCCACCAATAACTGTATATTGAACGCATGTTAATACGATATAACATGATAGATGCGAATCCTTTGTCAATACCCGCAGATCCTCACGCGAAATTACAAGTGGCCAATGTAGAGGACAATATTAGACTTGAAGTGCCATATCATGAAGCAGTAGGAACGTTATTATTTTTATAAACTGTATCATAACCCGATATAGCTTATGCCGTCGGTATAGTCAGCCGATACTTAGATAAATACAATGACCGACATTAGAATGCCGTAAAGAGGATAATACGATACTTATCTTACACGAAATATTTAGGAATATTGTATTCAAAGTATGAAAATTTAAACTTGACAGGCTTCTCAGACTCAGATTACGCCGCAGATATAGAGACTCGTCGATCAACGAGTGATTACATATTTAAATTATTGAATAGCCCAATAACATGGATGTCGAAACGACAAACATGTGTAAGCCTTAGCACTACAGAGGCCGAGTATATCGCAGCGTGTCTAACAGTTACGGAATCAATTTGGATACGAAAGTTGTTATGTAACTTGAGATTTGAGCGGAAAGATCCAACGCCAATATATATAGATAACCAATCGACTATTAAGTTAGTAAAGAACCCCCAATTTCATTGTCGAACAAAACACATTGATGTAAAATTTCATTTTATTAGAGAGAAATATGATAATTGCGAAATCAACGTGATATATATATGTACGCGTGATCAAATAGCAGACTTATTTACAAAAGCATTACCGAAAGATAGGTTTGAAAACTTGTTATCGAATATAGGTTTAATACATATAGATATATAATGCATGTAATCACATATTTACTCCTGTAATCGGACGCACGATTTCATAAAACATTCAAAAGGTGGGAGTGTTAAGATTCATGTTCTAAAGTTTTGATATTTTTATATTAGTATAATCGCGCGCCCAATGAGTTGCGTTTGTGACGGCGCTAGCGAGAGCTCTTATGTTTCGTTTGGTCGCAGCTGCGCATGCGTGTCGCTTTTCGCTTTCCACTTCTTCACTCTCTTGTGTCGTGTATAGACTCGCTACTGCATCGCTCGTGTATAAATTTTTCTTTTGTTGTATAGTCGATCAAGACAGTATAAACTAAACATTGTTCAGTTTAATCTGTGTATACCCTCTCAATAACCACTGCAAGAAACCTTTTGACGACTCACCCAACAATATCTTTGGAAAATCACCCTTATAGAAATATCATACTAAGAATCATTGATAATTACTTATTTTCAGTATTAAAAATACTGGATAATAAGTAATTATCAATGATTCTTAGTATGATATTTCTATAAGGGCATATTATTCGCAAACATATTTATAATTGGATTATTCTATTGTATTATACGTTTCAGAATATAGCAGACTTAGAACCTAAACTCCAAGAACGAAAGGAAAAGCTTGAAGTTTATGGCTTAACATTTCAGCCAACGGTGGTTGTAGTAGGTTGCATTGTAAATTATATATCTTTCTACGTGATTATTAACGATGTTAAGTACACATTAACGAATTTAATGAGTGCAGTAAATTTATGCTTCCAAGTCTTCTTTGCGCTAGATGCTATCTATCCGGTAGATTCGGAAATTATATGGTATTTCTTGCAAAAATATGTTTACAGCAAAAATATGTTTACTACCCAAACCAAATGTCGAAATTTCATCTCTATAGATGCTGTTTGGCACGACATACAGCAACTTATGCTTAACCCCTAGTAAGTTATTTAAATAATAAGTAAGTTATTCAAATAATAATTTATAGCATTGCTAACTTGTTTACGAAAATGTTATAAGCACATATATTAAAAAAAAATGATAAAATGTGAATATTGTCGTAAAACCTTTCCAAAAAGGTATTTAAAATTCCATATACGTTTTGAACATCGTACAAGTATTGTTTCTATGAAATATACTTGTAATTTCGAAAATTGTAATCGTTGTTACTCTACTTATAAAGCTCTTCAGCAACATAAAAAGCATTGCAAACATTTGAAAACAGCAATAAGTGAATCCGATATTTTACAACACGTAAATATTAATAATATGACTTCACAATTGCACAATTGTAACGAAAAAACCGAATCTGATTGTAGTAATTGTGATATAAATGTTAATACTAATTGGAATATTGAAGATGTACGTAATGAACTTCGCATACTAGCATTGCAATTAATATCTTCTTTACACGCTGATGCAACATTATCCCGATTACAAATTGATCGCGTTACGCACATATTTCATTCTTTCC